CTAATGTCTCCGCGTGTTCCTGATGTGTTCCATCTGGCCTGAGGCTAGCTGCTCTGTGGACATTGTCTTTATTTAAGGAGGGCCTGTGTGTCTCCGTCTGAGAACAACAGCGTCCATGTTCAAAATATAAACCTGGAATTTGAAAACGAATCCATCTAAAATATTCCCAAATAGATAAATGCATGAAACAGGCTGATGTGATGCAGCAGATTCACACATTTCTGATTCAAAGGAGAGGATTTCAATAGGAGCATTTATCACACACACACACACACACACACACACACACACACACACACACACACACACACACACACACACACACACACACACACACACACACACACACACACACACACACACGCGCGTACCAACGCACACACCCTTTGGCTCTCACGCTGTTGCTACGGGAGTTTAAGCTGCTCCTCCATTGGCCGGGCTCCGGGCCGAGCTGCCTGGCCGGTCAGCATCCCCTCGTTGTCGTGGCAACAGACAGTGAGCAGGGCGGGAGGCGGAGAACCACAGTGCTGCTGCTGCTGATTCAGACCGCAGAAGAAGAAACTCTGATGAGGACGATCTGCAGACATAAGAACTGATCTGTGATACAAACCGGCTTAGTGCGCGCACACACACACACACACACACACACACACACACACACACACACAGCCTGCTAATCCTCCACAAAACATGATTATTAATATGTCATGTCTGGATGGTGTGTGTGTGTTTTATGGTTCCGTTCCTTCTTCCTCATCGTGTGGTTTTTATAATAAGGATAATAAAATGAACATATTTGTATACCTACAAAGGTTATTCCTGGTTATTTGTGTACAAGTACCTGTAAATGTACAGCTATCTGTATCCCAGGTTGTTCACATGGGGGGGGGGGCAGCATAGGGAGGGAAACAAAAGAGGAAAAAAAAGCTCATGAATATCAAACAGGAGTTACATAAGCACCTCTGACCCAAAACGTCCCGTCAGTCCCCCCGAGGGAGGGGGGCACTTTGCATGCACTCGCTGACCCAACGGTGGTTTATTTACATAAAGCGGCGGTGCGTTCCTCCCTCTGAGTGTGCTCCACTTCGGTTTGAAAGGTTCTGAGCTTCTGCTGAAAGTTCTGATCTCCCCGTGAAATGTTGTACAGCGAGACGCTTTCAATCGATTCGCGGGACGTTGGAGGGAATTTTAAAGAGCAGAAGTCGTGTTTCTCGTCCTCAGTCGTACATGTATGAACATTAAACACAACGCCTTGATGCAAAGTCAGGATGGAAACGCAAAGCTCTGAATGAAGGAAGCAGACGAGGTGAGAAGAACATCACGTCCTGCTTCATATAGACTTCAACCACGTTGCACACTTTTCATCCACATGTGGTGACGAATGTTCTGATGGGGCGTTCGGGGACGCTCGGGATAGAAGAACCGCTCATTGAATCAAGGATCCTGTGAACTTGGTTCTGTAATTGTTTGAATAAATGCTCATTTAAAACATGTCATCCTTCCTTTGCCCCCCCCCCCTCCTGGCTCCCCCCTCAGGTGAAACCACGTGGCTGTGTGGTGCCCCCTAGCCTTCCCCCTGAAAAACTCTCCTCCTCCCCGACC